GTGCATCTGGACGGTCATCATTGAAGCAGGATGGAGACAAATTCTTCGGGACTGGAGTGATGGGGGTATCTTTGAAGCATGTGGGGACAACAGCCTGACTTAGTGAGATGTTGAAAATGTCTGTGAAGACATCAGTGAGTTCCACTGCACAGTCTCTCAGTACACGCCCAGGAATGTTGTCAGGACCCGGAGCTTTGCGTGCGTTGATCCTGCTGAGGGATCTCCTCAATCTGTCTGGGGACAGCGTCATCACCTGGTCGCCTGGAGGAGGTGGAGTCTTCTGTGCAGTGGTGCTGTTTTGTGCCTCAAAGCGAGCGAAGAAGATGTTCAGCTCGTTCAGCAGGGAGATGTTGCTGTCACAGGTCCGCGGTGGGGGCTTGTAGTCCGTAATGGTCTGTATCCCCTGCCACAGGCTCCGAGTGTCTCTGCTGTCGCTGAAACGATGGGCTATCCTCCTGGAGTACTGTCTTTTAGCCTCTCTGATGCCGCGGGATAGGTTGGCCCTAGCTGTCTTCAGGCCCACCTCATCTCCAGCTCTGAAGGCAACGTTCTGGCCCGGACAGTGATGGTCTTTGAGACTGTTACATCATCAATACACTTGGTGATGTAGGCAGTGACAGTCTCCGAGTACTCTTGGAGGTCTGTGGAATTATTGTATGTGGTGTTAAAACAGTCTTGAAGAGCCTCTGACGACCCTTTCGGCCACACTTGTATTTGTTTGTGAACTGGTTTGGCAACTTTAACGAGCGGTCTGTATGCAGGCATTAGCAGTCGGATGTAGTCCAGTTTATTGTCCAAAGAGCGTACGTTAGCCAGTACGATGGTGGGGATAGCTGGCTTGTGTGGGTTAGCCGCTAGCCTAGCCCGGATACCTCCGCGCTTGCCCCTCTTCTGCTTCCTCTCGCGCCGCTTGTGGCGCCTCCGCTGTGGGCGAGATGCAGTAGTGGGGGTCGGTGATGGTGTAGGCCTCGGGAGCAGACGGAGATCCCGCAGCTCTTCGGCGTGCGCGGAGTTTAACTCTAAAAATGTGGTTCTGCCGACATCGAGTAGAAACTCACGACTGTATGCGCGCTTAGAGACAAGTAGACGCGATGAAGACGTACGAAAACACTGCGACTCACAAGACAAAAAACACGAAAACGGTAGAGAGAGAAGCCGCGCCGCCATCTTTTAAAGAGCATTTAACCTCTCCAGAGCATAGACGAGTCTGGCCCTGAACCCGCAGCTTTCAGGGAGCTGCGTAGCACGACCGACCTGGCTTTGCGCGCCACTAGATGACGGCTCAGGCGATCAGCAGATCCATGGCCAACCTTGTGGTGCTCGAGCGCAACCTATGGTTGACCCTCATGGAGATCAAGGATGCGGATAAGGTCCCCTTCCTCGACTCCCCGGTCTCCCCCTCTGGCCTGTTTGGACCTGCGGTTGAAGAGTTGGCTGAGCGCTTCACCGCTGCGCAGAAGTCATCCCAGGCAATGCGACACTTCTTGCCAAAGCGCTCCAGTTCTACAGCTGCTGCCAGTCGCCCCAAGACGGCGCAGACTCAGCAGCCCGCGAAGCCCGCACCACCGGCTGCAACTCCAGCCTCTAAGCCTGAGCCCCGACATCGCTAGCGAGAAAAATAAAACACAAACATTTTCAAAAAGAGAGCAAATTTCCTGGAGTGTCAGACTGGGTTTTGGGGATAATAAAACGAGGTTATTCACTTCAATTCGGTCAATTTTGCCAAGAGCGCGCTGTCCCCCAGCTAACGGATATTGTTCCTGGGAACAGTTCTCGACTCAGCCCGAATGAGGGCGGTCGTCGCGCCAGAACATGCACTGGACATTCAGCAGCTCGCGGCCTCATTCAAAGTTGAAGCCCCTCGCCCCCCTCTCAAGGCGTTTCAGAAGTTGCTGGGCCTCATGGCCTCTGCGTCTCCGGTACTTCAGCTGGGCCTGCTTCGCATGCGGCCCCTTCAGTACTAGCTGAAACCATGAGTTCCGTCCCACGCCTGGCGTCTCACACATCTTCGTGTCAAGGTGGACCAGGCCTGCGTAGCAGCTCTGGCCTCCTTGGAAAGACTCTCAGTGGATGGAACAGGGCGTGCCCCTGGGAATGGTCTGCAGAAGGAAGGTGGTCTCGACAGACGCTTCCAACACAGGTTGGGGAGCACTGTGCGATGGCAAACTGGCTTTCGGCCATTGGTCGAAAGAGGAGGGTCGACTTCACATCAACTGCCTGGAAATGCTGGCAGGATGTTTGGACCTTCACACCTTTCTGCCAGATCTAAGGGGACACCACATGTTAGTCCGCTCGGACAGCATGACAGTGGTGTCCTATATAAATCACCTTCGCCTCAGAAGGCAACTCTCACTGCCCAATTTACTTTTCGAAGGGTTAAAGACGGGACCTCCTCTCTCAGGCAAACAGAACGATATGGCACCCCCAGCCCGAGCTGTGGGGCTCTGCACCTCTGGCCTCTCGATGGGAGCCTGTGGACCTCCCCGAGAGCGTGCTAAATACAATCTCTCAGGCTAGAACACCCTCTACGAGACGGCTCTATGCCCTTAAATGGTCTGTCTTTTCTGTCTGGTGTACTGCCCACGGCGCAGGCCCAATTTCCTGCAACATATCTCTGATATTGTCCTTCCTACAAGAGCTGTTGGATAAGGGTCGTTCCCCCTCCTCGCTCAAGGTCTATGTAGCAGCCATAGCAGCCTCACATGCTCCTATAGCTGGTCAGTTGGTGGGCAGGAACAACCTAGACGCAGAACGAGTGAAGTATCAATAGGGAACTTACTCGGTTACTAATGTAACCTCAGTTCCCTGAGATACGGGAACGTGTACTGCGTTGCTGGCCGTGCTATATAGCTTCAGTTGAAGTAACCTGAGGAACCTATGGCGAAATGCCCGCTTATATAGCCAGATGCCCCGCCCATTCTGGCGTGCTCTGGCGGGCTTCGTCGCCATAGGCTCATTTTTAATTCTCTGCACGAACCAATGGCCATGCAGTTACACAGCGTTATTGAAAAGGCTTCAGTATTCGGAGAAAAAGGCGTTTTCCCCATTGCGCCTTAGCAGACGCAGTACTCATTCCCGTATCTCAGGGAACCGAGGTTACGTTAGTAACGGAGTAGGTTTTGTATGTTTATTTGGTGATGGATGAAAACAAAACAATCTAAAAAAAAACATTTTAAGTAAATTCTCTTTTGAAGTTCGTTTTCAGTTTTGTTTATGTTTTCAGCAACAACCAGTCTAGAAAAGTAGATTTGGCTTTGCTATGCTTTCCAAGTTCTTGGCATTTCACTGTTTTCTCTTTCTGAATAATTGATATTGGCCTAGAGATACTTAAAGAAATGTTTCAGGTTCAATACAAGTTAAGCTCTGTGGACAGTATCTATGGAATACTGTCACAATAAATAATGCTGTTCTTCAGTTAATGTTAAAAATGCATGTACATAATACCCTTACAATGGAAGGATGGGGTAGGACGATTCACTGGAATAAATGTTAAAATACACTATTACAGGTTTTTTTGTTGTTGTTTTTTGTAATTAGTCACAGGCATTTTGTCTGTATGAACTGAGGGATGAGTCAGAATTTTCCGTGGTAATCAGCATGGGTCTAGAGTTTAACTCGTATTGAATTGGAATGTACACTAGTTCTTTCATCCAGAAATGGTGTAA